TTCTGAATACCAATTTCCAAATTTTAGTTACCTACATGACCAAGCATCATAGACAAAAATCTAGCTTTTACATTTTGTCATATTTGTCATCTTAAAATTAAAGTAAAAATCTAGCTCTTACACGCTTATATTGATTAGTCCCCAAGTTGTATTTTGCACACAATGATATCATATGTGTTTGTTTTAGCAAACAGTCTAGCATCTCGGCCAAAAAATTTAAGTTCATGATGAACAGCAATGTGCACGAGGCATCTGATAATGAAATTAAGGAGCGTTTAATATTCATAATCAGTAAAGACTGTACTCTTTATTGTTTTGTTTTGGAACATATTGTAATTAGGCTTTCTCACTTGTTCCCTTGCCCTTATGCTATTGCATTTATTCAGCTTGTTTTTGCGGTCTTTACTGGCGAAGCATGGGGTTATCTTGGCAGTAGAAGATTTTTGCTTGAACTAGAATTGGGTGCAGATTCCTTAAAGGGACTCAACGGATCAATGATTGAACAGGTTTTTTTCTTATTTATTTATTTATTTATTTTTGAGTTGCTACTACGGATACTGCATTCATCTATTTTTACTTTCTAGATACCTTAGCATATTTAGGGTTATAGAAAACGGACATTTAAGGGCTGGATGGGCATGCTTAGTCAAAAGCGAGGCATCATTTTTATCCTTGCATGTAAAGGCTAGAAGCAAAGTTTTGTATTTTGAAAACGTTGCTATGGAACTTCTGATTATGCATACTTTGCCTCAAATTTTCCTATAGGATGCTATTTAATGTATGAATTTGAGTTTTTAATTAGGAGAGGAATGTTGGGGATAAAGAGCAAAATTTGTCTAAATAAAATAAAATGTGATGCGACTCACCATTAACCAATCCTATTTTGATATTTTGGTTTTAGAAGTTTTATTCTAATATAAAAGTTTGTTTTCTTAAAAGAAGTGATGCTTAATTTTGACTAGCCTCTTTTGTTCTAGGAACCACATAAGGATTTTATCACAAAGATCAAAGTAAGAGATCCACATTACGCTCTTTTCTATTTATCCTCCTTGCAAAAATGCGCTCTCCATAATGAATACACATAATCATGCCTACTTCATTGATGCGGACCCTTACTATTTGTTTCATAATTGGGATAAAGTTTGGTGCTGAAGGCTTTTGGAATTGTAGGAAATAACTATGTTATGACATTATGGTGAATTTTCTAGTCTACTAGGGTAGAGGGAGAGGGAGGTGGGCCACCTTGAGTCATGACTAGAACTTTGGGATGTGCCTTGAAGGTGGCCAATTGCGAGGGGAGAGGTAGAGAATTGTATCTGATTTTGGAGGAGGAATCTTATATTTTCATTCAAGCTTCAATCATTCCAAATCTTTTATTGTCTAAACTCTACATGTAGGCCTGCTGTAGCTTTAATTGATATGAAAAACCCTAGGTATTAATAAGATACATTTTCCTTATTTCAATGCCTATTTTAATTCAAATTGAAGATACAAATGAAAAAGTTAAGTGAGTATTCCATTATTCGTCCTTAGGTGGTTAACCCCCTTAAAAAAAAAGGATGCTTTTGTGGAAAGCATGTTGGAAGATTTCTTGATTCCTTTTCATTTGAATTTTCTCTCTCTCTCTCTCTCTCTCTCTCTCTCTCTCTCTCTCTCTCTCTCTCTTAATTTAAATTAATAATTTGCAATTTGGTCTGCTTTTTCAATAATTGCAATTCTAATATTCTGTTCCTCCTTAGGTGGTTAATCCCCTTAGAAAAAAAAAGGATGCTTTTGTGGAAAGCATCTTGGAAGATTTCTTGATTCCTTTTCATTTGAATTTTCTTTTCTTTATTTTGATCATCTCTCTCTCTCTTTCTTTTTTAATTTAAATTAATAATTTGCAATTTGGTCTGCTTTTTCAATAATTGCAATTCTAATATTCTGTTGATAATTTTGCAAATTTCTTTAGAACTTTCTAGATCACAGCTCCCATTTTAAGTTGCTTGCTCCTTTAAATAAATCTTGAGAAAAGGACCAAAATGGTCCCTCAACTCCTTAGGAAGGGCCTCCAACTATTTTGAGGGACCATTTTGGTCTCTCAATTCTTTAAAATGAAATCATTTTAATCCTAACATCCAAAATAATGGATGTTGTACTTAATGGTGTTACAAATATATTTTAGTAGTTTTTTGACTATACTATTTATTAGATATAGTTTTCAAATAATTATAATTAACAAAATATTAATCATTTTCTTAATAAGAAAAATTAATAGTATTTTTAGTTATAATTTTAAAAGTTTTAGTTATATTTTATCATTTACTATTTATTATATTACCATAACTTTAATTTATAGTTTTTATAAAAATATAATTAAATATTTATTTTAGTCACAAATATATTTACCAATCATAATCTATAAAATATGAATAAAATTTTTAAAATTATAACTAAACATACTATTAATTTTTCTTATTAAACAAATGATTAATAAATTTATTTTGAAAAATTCTTATCACTTAAAAATTATATCTTTTAAATAGTTTAATTAAAAAATTACTAAAATATTCCTCATTTTAACACAATTAAGTCCAACATACATTATGTTGGATGTTGGGACCAAAATAACCCCATTTTAAAGAGTTGAGGGACCAAATGGTACCTCAAGATAGTTGATAACCATTTTGATCCTTCCTAAAGAGTTTAGGGACCATTTTGGTTCTTTTTTCAATAAATTTTAATAGGTTGAGAGCTTCTCTTCTTTTATGGATCTTCTCTTTCTTTTCATCCTTCCAACTTATGGCTTCTGAGAAGGCTGGGGTGCATCAATGTTCTTTATCTGATGTTGATCATCAAGTGGGATGGTGCTTCTTGTGCTTTTTTTAGGAAGATGGATCCCTTTGTTAGCATCCTCCAGTGTGACTGCCTTTTCCGTCTTCTCTAAACGTGGAACATGTGACCAATTAACTCTATATGATTTCCCTCCTTTGATGAGTAAACCTTTGTTTTCTTGTATAGAAGATATCATCTCTATCATATATGCGGACTAACAAATATTATATGACTTACATCTAATGGTACAACTTCACATGCCATCTCATTAATGAAATCTCTAGATGAAGTAAACTTAAGAATACATTGCTTAGTGACACGACAAATCTTTTTCTTATGAAACCAACTTAAAGAATAAGATTTTTTAATGTCTTGTAGCACCTAGACTATTTAGGAACAATAGACTAATTGACTATATATATGTTTTTCCTCTCATTACAAGAAACATTTGTTGTCTTCTATAGAAGATATCATCACTCTTTCATATACGGTAAACCCAATATCTCATATACGGTAAACCCAATATTACATGACAATATCTAGTGGTACAACTTCACCTACCATCTCATTAATGGAACCTCTAGATAAAGTAAACTTAAGAATACATTGCTTATTGACCTGACAAATATTTTCTCTTATGAAATCAACTTAAAGGATAAGATTTTTGTCTAGTAGAAACCAGCTTAAGTTTCTCAACTAGAGCTTCAACTAGGTTAAAATGGCATTGACAAGGTAGATTTTACCTGAAGCTTGACATGTAAAAGTTCCTTCTTAGCCGTCTTATTAACACGTGCATGTAACATTAGGCTTAATGCAGGATCTACCTTTGTCACCTCTCACTTCAAAATTTTCTTCCAAGTTAATAGCAATGTAGTTTTCTTTCTCTATCTGATCTCCCTCCACCCCCTCCTCTCCCCATATTTGATTTCTTATTTGGATATAAGTTGCAAAAATCCTTGAGCATGTGTCCTTGCTTTCCGTAACAGCAACATCGTGGTATGTTGTCTTGCTCATTTGCAGTCAAACATTCAATTTTCTCTTTTTTTTTATAATTGCAAACTGAACTTTGTGTAATGGAAATATATTTATTTCTTTCATTGAGCGTCTTTTTGGGTACGTTTTATCTTCTTTGCAATCCGCTGACACACATATTTTTTCTAATACTTTTTTGTTATTTTGTATAATTTTTTGTGATGGAAAATTATTTTTTACAACATATCCAATAGTTTGGGGTGGCTATAAAAAAATTGTTGGCTAACTTGAAAAAGAAAATATTTATATTGCTTACATCAACTTAAAAAAAACATTTTTCCACAATAGCTTTGGAATCACTTTTATAAAAATATGCAACCACTCCAAATGGACCCGCAGTGCAATAACTTTGATGATATCTTCAAGGACATCAAATGTTTTTGAAATAATATCCTACTGGTTCAAACTATGCTCGGATACCAACTTGATTTAGAATTAGGATAAAATTTGGGTGCCACAGATTTTTGGAACTAGTAGGAAATGATTTTGTCAAGGAGTATTGATAGATTTCGTAGTCTACCTGAGAGGAGAGGGAGGGGCTGTCATCCACTTTGGGATTTGTGCTTGGGTGTTTGGGACATGCCTTGAAAGGTGTGCTGATGGAGGAGGAGAGAGGGCTTGAATAGGAGCTTTGGTCAAAATTAAAGAAGAGAGAAATGTAAATATTGCATGAACTATTGATTTATATAATTGGAAGTAACCAATTAGGTTTACGACGAAACCTAAGAATCGTTCATTGATCCAATTGGAGTACCTTTATGGGATAGACCTCAACAGAAAATTGTTAAGTAATGGTGGCAAGTGATTGAGTTCAGTAGTTCTTCATAGAAAATTAAGTACAAGTCAAAATATGTGAAATTAAAGGACATTACTTGAATGCAACTGCGGGTTCCTGGCTGCTTGTCCAGTAGTGGGTATCCGGTTCATTGCTTTGGGTATTAGAACTATGACGTTCAACCTGAATGGTTTCAATTTTAACCAATATGTAGTTGATAGTCAAGGTCGTGTTATTAACACTTGGGCTGATATTATAAATAGTGCTAATCTTGATATGGAAGTAATGCATGAATGAGTTTTCATCAAAAAGAATAAATGAAGAGGAAATTAGTTATAATTTGCCTACTTTAGATCTCTGGAATATGGAAAGAATATTTACTTTTTTTTTTCCATTTGAGGAGGAAACTTGAATTTTCATGCAAGTTTCACCTATTCGAAATCTCTTATTCTCTAGGTTACATGAAGCTTTATTTATAGCAAAAGGGATGGCAAGGCCATTTTTGACGTTGGGAATAATGTTGTGAACTCACCAAATTCATTTGAGGGTCGAAAAACAAGGATAAGAAGAACATCGAAATGATGCCAGATTTCTAGCTCACATGAAGAAACATGAAATAGTTATGACGATGAGGATGAGACAAGCAAATGAAATAAGCAATTAATTAAAAAAAGAAGAAGAAATAAACAATTTGTTTATAAAGGTCTACTGGTGGTTAATTAATTGATTCCTGTATTATGTAGCTGACTATCTATTAGTAGATTGAGCTTTGTAATTCTCTTTGGAAACTATAAATGAAGAAGAATAGAGCTGTAGTGAAAGTTATTCCCTTATTTTTCTATTTTTTTAGTTTCTTCTTTCCTTTGGAGATCTGGGTTTGCATCTCATAGTGTAGGCAACTCGAAATGCCGAAGTGACTTGGAGTACCTATCAAATACCGAAAAATTATTTCATAATTTTGTTTTGTATGATGTTTGTTAAATAGTGTTACTATGTAATATTTCTTATGTTAAGTGCGCTTCAATTAATTAAAGTGTATGTTTTGTTTGTGCTTTAAGTTTCAATGCAAAACTCAGTGTGCCACATTTTACTTTGTACGTTGATTGATGTTGGAGTACAGAAAGATCACTTTCAGTGCTCTCATGAGGATTATTTCTTCCTTTTTCTCCAAGCCATTGAGTCTTTTTCTTTCTTTTATTTTTACCCTTGCTTCTCTCCTCTTGAGGTATTCCTTTCCTCGGTTCTTCTCAGTCCCTTCTTTCTTTTTACCTCTTCAGTTCCTCCTCTACACCAGGCTTTCCATCTCAACAATAAGATATCAACAAAGCTTCACTTTGATTCTGCTGCGCAACTCATCAGCAGTTCTAACTAGTAATCACAATTCAAATCGGCTCTTCATGTTGCGAGCAGTTCACATGTAACTATGGCATTTATTACGTTTCAAGTTGTTTATTTTAAGTCCCACTCAGACATGCTTGCAATAGTGAACTGTATTCTAACTATATAGGACTGCGTGCTTTTGCAATTTATGATTCTCTCATCTTAACTTGATGGCCTAGTTTCTGTTTTCATCATTCATATTTTTTAATCGAATTTCCTCATAAGCGTTTGCCATCTTTCTCTGTATGAATAGGTCTTGGAAATTGGATCTGTTGGCAAAGGGTTAAGTGAAGGCAAAACAACTTTTTTTGCGCACTCAGGTCATGTAAGTTTTTCCATTAGTCATGCATTTTTTGTTTCTTGGTCTAGTAGTTTTATCTTTTTATCTGCTCATGTAAATTATTGGAAAAAAAAATTCATAGAGATGTGAAAATGGCTTCACAAAGAAACAAAAAATTTTTCTCCAATTAGTAAAGGCTGGGAAGAGCATGAAAAGCTCGGGTATTAAAAAATGATAGAAGGGAAGAGGGCAGATGATAGACATTGAGCTTGAGAGGAAGGTCTGTGTTTTGGTTTTCTTTCATGCTATTCTCTTATCTGATAAATGACGGGAATCTTGCAAGAATTTCTCAAGGACATGAGCATTGGACCATAGAGATCCGGATTTTCTGGTATAACAGCTTGTGCTCATGAATATATAGCAGGTGACATGTAATGTTTTCTCCATTGTCCAACAGCGGAAAGGAATACATGGTTGAAATGTTAGGAGGTTAGTATTGTGGTCCTGGTTATCAAGTGAACTACATAGGGGCGCTTGTATGAGTTTGATTTTATTTTTTGTAACGCTGACACCCCTTGTCTGGTTGAAGAATTATAAAAAGCCATGGAATTCTAACTGAAAAGATGGTTGAGGTCCTTGAGTGGGGGGCCATTTAGTCAGGAATTAAGCATCTGTAATTTATTGGATCATTAGTTGGTACCTGAAATAGTAATTGAATGGATAGTGGGTAACTGGAACAGCAATTGAATGGTACTGATATTTCTTCAGCACGATTTTTTTGAATGGTCTTCAATTTTGCCATAACTAAACGGTATTGATAAAGATAACTTACTGGAAGAGAAAACGTAAATCATATGGTCTATTAATGTGCGTAGTTGCTGATAAGCCATACTTCTGCATCGTGAAACTCTTACATAGGTTTGCCAAAATTTTCTGGTTTAGTTAATCTAATTATGATCAAGTTACTTTGTATATGAAAGATAAAATAATAGTAAACAATCATCATCATTATTAGTCTTATCCAAACAAATTTGGGTTGGCTTCAAAGAATTGTAAAAGATTGTATTTAATATTTTCCAAAGGAATGGATCAATTACAAAAATATATTCAAAATAGTCTGATGATTGTAAAATCAACATTAATAATCACCTTAAAGATGATAGAAAACAAGGATTATTGAAACACCACATTGTGAGGGAGTTGCATTGATCCGCTTCTTGTTAAAGCTAAGTTTATGTTTGCTGTTACTATTTTGTTGGAGATTAGCACCATTGCTTTAATACATTTTTATTCAATGTTACTGCGTTAATCAATCAAGACACTACTATGACTCTCCTCTGGACCTTGGGCATAATGAAGGTCGTTCTTAAATTTTAAGAGCAATCTACTTCTATTTGTTCAATAGCTATGTGAAGCTTCCTGGTGTTATTTTCTTTTTGTTTTGCTGAACTTTTTTCTCACATAGTTATTTTTTTAGTACTTATTAACTATTTTTTTTTCTTTTCTTTTTGTTTTGCTGAACTTTTTTCTCACATAGTTCTTTTTTTAGTACTTATTAACTATTTTTTTTTCTACTATTGTTTATGGCCTGCTGCTAAGCTCTGTTGTAATGTTCCTCAACTCTTTAACTAGGCTGTGTTAAACTTGTCAGTATAACAAATTTAGGCTTCGTTTGGGACGGCTTTCTTACTGCTTCTTTTTTAGTACAAAAATTTAAATTTTTTACTAGAAAACTGCTTTAAGAAGCAGTAAAAAAGCTTTCCCAAATGAAGTCTTAATTAATCTAAACATGAATTAAGAATTGCATGAGTAAGTATGAACAGTTCCTTTCTAAAATATCTATATGCTGTTCTTTACAGGATACATCGTCAACAAATGAAATGCTAGATGCCTTAAAGAAGGCAAGTTTATCACTCGGTTCAGATAATGTCAATATCAAAAAGGCTGATGTATCAAATCCTGGTGTACCACCTTCTTCGCTGATGTCATTCCTTAGAAAGGTTAGTGTAAAAATGAATCATGAGTATCATCTTATAATGATGAGTATGCATCTCATTTCATATTGAGCTATGCTTCTTCGACTTTTCTGGTACAAATGCTACTCAGTCATATTGAGTGAATCACCTGAACTCAAAGTGCTTTACATAATCACATGAAATTTATTAACTTAAAGGGCATTGCATGATAACCTTTTATCCCAAATATATAGATTTAATTGCACTTATATCTCCTATAGATAGTCAATATGACAAATACCTTGTATTTTTGAAATTATACTTTGCTCCCCTTTTGTTAGGTATTACAACACATTTTAACTCCAATTTATTTTTTCATTTTTACCCCACAGTGGGACAAAGGCTTGATGATGTTGTTGTTGTTGTACACTTGTCTCTCCTATTGTTAAATATTACAATATCTGTTGTCACCAATTTGTTAACCTAAAGTTTTAGAAATGGGAGTTTAGTTTAATTTCAAATAAATGCAGGAGAGATATGTATACTATTGATTATTAAAATGGGAGATCGGTGTGATTAACTCTTGAATGTATCTTCTCCGTATATGCATGAGTATCTTCTCCATATATGCGTGTCATTGACACTAACAACATGCTAATGTAGTTCTTAACTAATAATATAGAAAACATTGTCATAAATATATAAATTTCAAAGGATAAATTATTAATAATATTTTAAATTTATTCATTACCTTCAATGTACATCTAAAAATGCTAAAACCTTATCATGATAAAAGATTTATGGCCTTCTACTCGACATTGACTATAAATTTGAGGATCCCAATAGTCACAATTAAATTCTCATGCAACAGAAAAAAATCCTTGTAAAATTTCAATCAATAATGAAAAATATAAGTAGAAGAATAAGAAGACTGGTGAGATATCATAGAAAAAGGGGACTAAGTCATGCAAGTAAGCATCGTGCTTGTACATAGAGATAGCCTTACATGGAATTTTACTTCTCAAGTCTTACATTTGATAAAAAATCTTAGATGGAAGACAATGATTTGTTCATTCAACAAGAAATTATTAACAAACTATAAATTATTTATATATCTTAGAAATATTCTTATTTTAATAAAATAAGAACACATGGTTGAGGATGTAATTCTAAATAATAAAGGGCTTCAATAATATTTGAATGATATAAATAAGAATCGCTGAATAATAGGAAAATTCAGCTTTCACATTATCACATGAATATGAATCACCAAGAAAGGAAATACCAAAAGTTCAATCGAAGGAGTAGGATATAGCTCAACCTAATAAAGTATCAATGTTGACATAACTTTTTTATAGGTGATGAATTATTTCTTTTATTATTATTTTTTTAAATCCTTAACCACAGAAACAATAGAATTCTTGTGTATTCAATAAAAAATATATTGTTTATAGAGAAGCACATGAGTTTCATTCATCATATCTTGGATTTTTATCCATCATGGTATGTGAAAAGCTTATTTAAGGTTAGATGCAAACTCTAATTGACTAATCTAATCTAATTTAAATAAAATACTCAAATAACAAAAAAATGATGCAATACAAATGTATTATGTTATTAGTAGCATCTGTAGACTTTGATGTCCCATTAATTCTGCTTGCTTGAAAAAGTTTGGCTTCAACAAATGACTAAAATTATATTCTCTCAAGATTTTTTGCCAGGATTATTTAATATCTTGTTGTAATGTCCATTTAATCGTCACATATAGGTTTATTTTTCCACCTAACAAGGCACCTTTGATATTCATTTTTCAGCTGTTGATATAATTTCATTATTAGTAATAGCCGCTTGAATTGATTAGGATAATTGTATGGAAAATGTGCAAATATTTTATTGATATGAAACTTAGAGGTGGAAAAGTAGAAGTATCCAAGGCGTTGATTGATGATTCATAATAGAAAATTAGATCAGATACATCAACAATTGGACTAAAACTACAATTTTTTATGATGTTTAACTTGTATGCATCCTTTCTCCATTGTGTTACTTTGTATGACCATGCTTTTCTAGTTGTACATTTATTAACTTTCTTTTGGAAATCTTTTCAGATTTAGACATCTTGAGCTCATCACCTTCTTTGAATTTTTTAATTGTCATAGTTGATGACAAGCTTCTAATAAATATTTTTTATATACGTCATGTATATGATTAAGGAGTAATGCAATCCATGGAGGAGTAATAACAAAATTCTTATATGCTTACTCATGGATGGATTATAAGTAATAACAAAATTCTTATATGCTTACTAATGGATAAGATTCAGAGAAATAAAACGATTCGGTAGTAATGGAACCGCAAGAATAGGAATCAATGAATAACAAAACATTTCAGTTTCTATATTTACGTTCGAACAGAAATTGACTAGAAATAGCATTTTTACAAGTCCACTTAGAGCTATGAGAGTAGGATAAATTATGGCCCTTAAAACAACAACAGTCGAGGATTTTAGTGGAAATTCCTAACCACAGCAACAATAAGAAAATTCTTGCACCAGTAGAAAATTCTTGTCAAAAGAAATCC